ACAACCTTCGAAAAATGCACTCCTGGGGAGGGTGTTCCGCTACCACGCGTCGATGATATCATTCGTCGACTTTATATCTGCACGATTTCATCAAAAAACGCTTTTATCTCATGACATCACATACACACACAGTGTCACGATTAAATTTAAAGCAGCGAGTCACACTTATTTCATCGCTAGTTCGTTCACTCTCCTTGCTTTCATAAAACTGAAATTAATTCGAATTGTTTACAAGGTTTCCAAACTATTTGATAATCAACATATTTTATGGTTTTTTTTTTTAATAATTATTACAGAAATTGTAACAAATTTGATCATAGTTTCCAATTGTTACTCAATAATTATCATCGATTATATAATAAAGTAAGGTATTAAGAATGTTATCGATCGGTTTCGGAAAATTTTCTATTTACTGAACTGGTCGTTTGATGTTGTATAGGTCAGACTTTTGTTGGCTAGAGACTCATTTAAAAATAGCCCTTCGATCGACTTGTTTACTCTGCACTTCGATGCACAACAATTGAAATTAATTAAAATTAAAGTAAATCTGCAATTGAAACTCGAAAGAAGGGCTACTAATTAGTTTAATTAGTTGCGAGCGTGGAGGGAGATTTTCAAGGGATACGCGAATACGAGCGGCGATTACGTAAGGAAATGCGGGTGCGGCGTCGACCTCGACTGGTAACAATACAATTAAACAACAACAAATTTAAAAATAACTCGACTTAATTAGTTTAATGGTACAACTTTATATACGAAAAATATACAATATATTCTCTATGTCTCATCTGTATATATTATTTTTTTTTTGTTGGTTCACTAAGCGCCCTCTATTTTTAGGCGTTACTCAAACGCGTCTATTTTTATGGAGGACGCAAGGACGACCGTACTTATTGCTAAATCGTCCACCAATTGTTTGTGTACGTTTCGACCCGAATCCTACACGCGCTCTCTTCTGTTTATTGTTGTTTGTTTTTCTTCTTTGCAGTCTCCCGTCCATTTGGGAAACACTGACCAGTCGACCCGTTTCGTAAACCGATGTTTTTCTTTTTTCCGTGTTACAAAAACCCAATAATAAACGTTTGATGGTTCGCTTCCTTCATTAAACTACACCGCTTCACGAGTGGAAGCACTTTTGTTTTGAAACACCTGCGCTAATTCGAAAATAAGTATGTTTAGGATACGCTTGGTCTGATCATGTTTGTTTTAGTACAAATTTTTTGTAATAATAACTCTAGTTTGATTTTCTTAAAAAAAAGTTGAGTAGATTTCTGTTGTATTAACTCTAATTTATGTATGTTTATAGTATAATACTTTTCAAACATACATTTATTATTATTATTGTTATAATTCAAATTTTACTTTTTTTTTCATTAATATTTATTCTACACATTTAAAACATAATTATTTATCTATAAGAAATATTATAATAAAGAGCTAGAAAAAGTGTATAATATTTGATTAATAATTCGAATGTGAAACGGATTTCATAAAAGATTGATCATATTATAAAAGTTAATTTCAGAATTGTTGTGAACGATATGAGAAAACGGTGAATGCGCAGCGCATACTTGATTCATAGGAAATTGATGAAAAGGGTATAAAGGATTTGTGTAATACTGGAGTTGATGAAAAGGCGCTTCGAAAAAATGTATAAAGTCGATGTGGATGCGCCTGGTTGTTAATGCATTTCCCGCATCGAGATTGGAAAATGTAGCGGAAATGTAATTCATCTCCTGGAAGGGAAAATAAAAAAAAACGGAGAAGATCATAAAGGGAGTGAATGCGCGCATCGTCGTATTGATGGGGAAAATGTGATCAATTGCGCCATATTTCCCCGAACCGATTGCATTTCTCGAGCACAAGGACGTCGGCGACGAAGGTTGATTAATGGTAATCGAAACTCACCATCCGGAAGAATTTGAAGCACCGAGGCATCATACACCGCACATCATACAAAAATCGTCGCGTACAAAACTCAACAGGTGTATACTTTCAGTAAGGACACGCATCCGAATATGTCGATCGTTTAATTGTAAACTGTACATGCATACAAATAAGTGTATATAATAAGCTTGTATTGTGATTGGTATAGATTATGAAAGTGTTGGTGATAAGGATAGATTTTGGAGGTACGTGTATTTGGACCCGAAAAGGATGTCGTTGAACCGCCGATTTGAAGAGGTGGTCCTTTCTGCGAAAAGGACGTTTACGCGTTTCGCGGTTCTTCAGCTCGATGGCCGTGTTGCACTGGCCACGCGTTCCGGCGACGCCTCGTGACGCAACCGTTCAATACGGACGTCGCGACGGCGCGTCTACCCACAGTGGTGAACCACCCTCTCTATCCCAAAAAAAAATACTATATAGATATACAGCAGAAGCTGCTCATCTGAACTCGAACAAACCCATCCTGATCACAACATTTAAGGGTCATATAACACTAGTTTACTTC